TTCTTAGATTCTGAGATTCTGAGATTCTGAGATTCTGAGATTCTAAGATTCTGAGATTCTGAGATTCTGAGATTCTGAGATTCTGAGATTCTGAGATTCTGAGATTCTAAGATTCTGAGATTCTGAGATTCTGAGATTCTGAGATTCTGTGATTATGAGATTCTGAGATTCTGAGATTCTGAGATTCTGAGATTCTGAGATTCTGAGATTCTGAGATTCTGAGATTCTGAGATTCTGAGATTCTGAGATTCTGAGATTCTGAGTTTCTGAGATTCTAATATTCTAAAATTCTGAGATTCTGAGATTCTGGAATTCTGAAATTCGGAAATTCTAAAATTCTGAGATTCTAAGATTCTGAGATTCTGAGATTCTGAGATTCTAAGATTCTGAGATTCTGAGATTCTGAGATTCTGAGATTCTGTGATTATGAGATTCTGAGATTCTGAGATTCTGAAATTCTGAGATTCTGAGATTCTGAGATTCTAAGATTCTGAGATTCTGAGTTTCTGAGATTCTAATATTCTAAAATTCTGAGATTCTGAGATTCTGGAATTCTGAAATTCGGAAATTCTAAAATTCTGAGATTCTAAGATTCTGAGATTCTGAGATTCTGAGATTCTAAGATTCTGAGATTCTGAGATTCTGAGATTCTGAGATTCTGAGATTCTGAGATTCTGAGATTCTGAGATTCTAAGATTCTGAGATTCTGAGATTCTGAGATTCTGAGATTCTGAGATTCTAAAATTCTAAAATTCTGAGATTCTGAGTTTCTGAGATTCTAATATTCTAAAATTCTGAGATTCTGAGATTCTGGAATTCTGAAATTCGGAAATTCTAAAATTCTGATTCTGAGATTCTGTGATTATGAGATTCTGATTCTAAGATTCTGAGATTCTGAGATTCTGAGATTCTGAGATTCTGTGATTATGAGATTCTGAGATTCTGAGATTCTGAGATTCTGAGATTCTGAGATTCTGAGATTCTGAGATTCTGAGATTCTGAGATCGATTTTTTCAAACATCCTTATAAATTTTTTGTGATGTTAATTTATTTCTTTAGAGTTTATTATTTTTTAGAAAAAAAAATTTTTTAATTAAAAATTTCAAGATTGATTCCCATTCAGCGTAGTCTCCATCTCAACGGGTCCAACAGCAATAGGCTTTCGAAAAATTTTGAAAAACAAAGTTTTTGGAATCATAGTTGAGTAAATTGAATTCACATTCCGATGATTACAGAAAAGATAAGTGAGTTGGATGGAGAATGGGATGGTTGCAAAATAGGTGTAACAGATTAGGAGGAATCCCTGGAATATAAAAGTTTGAGTCGATTTAACTAGTTTTCAGCAAGAGATATCAAAATTTTGTCCACAGATAAAATGTTGCTGAGATAATGATAAACATTTTATCAGTTTGTCACTTTCTGACATTTCTGATAGGAACTGAGATAAATTGGGTCCAAGTTGACATTACCACATTCAACAGAAGAAATCTACACTGTCAACTTCAAACCACTATATCTCATTTTCTATTAAAGAAATTAAAAAGTGATAAACTGATAAACTGTTTGTGATAATATGATAAGCATTTTATCAGTTTATCATTTTTTGATATCTCCTATAGGAACTGAGATAAATTGGCTGAAAGTAGACATAGGCCTTTCTGAAAGAAGAGACCACCCAATGTTAAGTTTAAATCACTATATCTCCGTTCCTGTAAAAGATGGCAAAAAGTGATCAACTGATAATATGTTAATCAAGATGTGATAAATATTTTAATATTATATCACTTTCTGATATCTCCTACAGAAAGTGAGATATTTTGGGTTAAATTCTAACAAAAGAGACCGCATTCGTTTTTTGTGTTTCAACTTCAAACCCATTTATTTCACTTCTTATCAGAAATATCAAAAAATTGTCGACTAATAAAATTTTTAACCCGTTATCAAAAATATTTTATCAGTTGATCACTTTTTGATATCTCAAAACCGAGATATTCCAAGTCAATATTAAAATTACCATCCTTATCAGAAGGGACCTCACACTGTTGACTTTAAGCCAATTTATTTGGGTTCCTATGAAAGATATCAGAAAGTCAAGAACTGATAAAATGTTTATCACAATATCAAAAACATTTTATCATTTTATCACTTCTTGATATCTCTTATGGGAACCGAGATATTCCAAGTCAAATTTAAAGTCATCCTTTTCCATCCTTTTCCAAACGGACCTCACCCTGTTAACTTTAAACCCACTTACCTCGGTTCCTGTAGAAGATATCAAAAAGTTGCTTACTGATAAAGTTTTATCACATTATCAGAAATATTTTATCAATTCATCACTTTTTGATTTCTCTGATAGGAACTGAGATATTTTAAGACAAAGTTGACATAAGCAACTCTAACAGATGGCTGACACTCTGTTAACTTTAAGACCAATTATTTCGGTTCCTATAGAAGATATCAAAAAGTTGTCAACTGAAAAAACGTTTACCACATTATCATAAACATTTTATCTGTTGATCACTTTTCGATATCTCTTACAGTAACCAAGAAAACTCACCAAACGCAATTCAGCAATTTGTTCATATCCAACAAAGGCTATATAAATCAATAAAATGATTGTTGTAATTTTTGATAAGCATAAAAATAGAGCCTGATAACAAATATAACGTTCCGGTGTAGATTTGATAACGGAAATGTGCGTTTTATTGGTGACACTTATGAAAATTGGAATGTAGAGAAATGTGGAGAGAATTGAGATGGATTCTAGGTAGATGTAGAATTTCTGGAAGCTGATTTTTGAATTTCAGAATTTTCCAAATTTCGGAATCTCACCATAATGATTGTATCAAACGCATCAATACTTTCGCTGGTGTTGTTAGGCATAAAAATCTCATACATCTTAAAATTCTCCTGATTCAAATTATATTTAGCATAGCCAAATCCGACATTCAAAGCTAAAATTAAAGCATACAGAATCAGAATTATAAAATTCCAGGTCCTTTTTTTGAAATTCACATAATTTTCAGATTCCGGAAAAAAGTAAATTAGAAATCTTTGAAGAGCAAGTACAGTAATCAGAATATTGAATACTGGAGCCACATATCCAGGTAATAGTACCAGAATTTGAGCCAGCGATTCACATGGAATTTGGAAAAACATTAGAGTTTGTGTGACAACGAAACCGTTAAACCAGCAGAATAATTGGAAGCAGACGATGCGATAAAAATGAGAGAGGATTGGAAATATTGGCAACTGAAATTTCATAATAGACCTTTTTAGAATTTATAGAATAGACACAATTTCCTACAATTCTGTCTAAAAGTCACATTTCTAGCGCTTCTAGGAACCGAGATAGAGCCGCTTCAAGTTTAGGAGGCTAGAGACGCAGACGACAAGACACGCTGCGTCTCTAACCTCGGAAACTTCAAATGACCGTATCTCGAGTTCTAGATGAGCTAGAAAGTTGGTTTTTAGACAGAATTGTAGGGTTTGGAATGGATTTTCAAATTTTTTGAAAAACTTTTCTAAATTTGAAATTCAAGAATCCAAAAATCAATGGATTTTGGTATCTATCAATCTTTGGATTTTGAAAAAGACAAAAATTTCTACAATTCTGTCGAAAAATCACATTTCTAGCGCTTTCAGGAACCGAGATAGAGCCGCTTCAATTTTAGGAGGCTAGAGACGCAGACGACAAGACACGGTGCGTCTCTAACCTCGGAAACTCCAAATGACCGTATCTCGAGTTCTAGATGAGCTAGAAAGTCAATTATTGGACAGAATGCGCGGTTTGGAATAGATTTTTAGACTATTCATGAAAAAAAATCTTGATTGGAAAACGTATGTAAACGGGATATCGTTCAACTCTTTAAAAGTTTTTCATATATAATCTAAAAATTCATTTTAAACCCTACAATTCTGTCCAAAAACCAACTACTCAGCTCATCTAGAACTCGAGATACGGTCATTTGAAGTTTCCGAGGTTAGAGACGCAGCGTGTCTCGTCGTCTGCGTCTCTAGCCTCCTGAATTTAAAGCGGCTCTATCTTGCTTCCTAGGAGCGCTAGAAATGTAATTTTTAGACAGAAAAGTAGGAAATTTTGTCTATTTTACAATTGAAAAATATTTTTGGCAAAATTTGTCAAAAGTTATAAAAATTACCAAAATCAACATTTTGACCAGTACTGTATTTCGAAACTTTGAATTGAAACTCACATTTTTATCATTTCCTCTATTCTTTTGGAAAACTCGATAATAAAATGGAAAGATAAACATTGAAAATAAAGCAAAAATTCCGAAGAACAATTGCTGGATTACATTGAAAAAGAAGACAAATCCAACTTTTCCTATTATCACTCCAGCTGGTTTCAGAATTGGTCCATAAACGTCAACAATTTCGTTTATTACTGGCTCTTCGACTTTTTTCTTGTGATAAAAATGATGGGTGAAATAGTCGTTGTGCATGAATTGAGCATAGGGGTTTTTGGTGCTCATTTTCTCTGAAATTTTGGAATTTTGAGGTTTTAAGGTTTTGAAATTCTGAATATCTGAAAACAATGATGTTTGAAAGGCTTCTAAAAATCATGTGTTTCATTAGCAGGTGAAAAGTTTAATTCATGATTTTTTTTTTTCAAAATTTCAGATGATGGGATTCTGAATTCTAGCCTCCAATGTCTTCTGGAATTCTCGGAAAATGTAGCTGAAATTTAAAAAAATGGAATTTTCATGGCACAATGATTTCATTTAGATTTAATTAGGGAGCTTAATTAAGGGCAATTAGGGATCATTTGACAAGAAGAGCGGGAATTCAAAATTGCAAAATTCTGAGAGTCGGGGAGCAATACAAATTGGGTACTTTGGACAATTGAATAACATACAAATGATTATTTCTGGGGGGAAAAATCGTAAAAAAGATGATACAATTCAGTATATGGGAAATCATTAAAATTGGGATAGTTTTGAAGGATGGGAATTAATATATAGCTAGCTGGAATATGGACAAAACTGGAAAATAATTAAACAGGGAATAAAATTCGGGAAGGAAGTTTTTTTTTGATAGAAATGGGGGAAGAAAAGAGTCTAGATAATTCCAGAACCCTTTTTGATAGGAATAATCTCAATTCTAGAAAAATTCTGGGTAAGAAAAGGTTATTAAAAACTACTATTGATTAAATAGGGGTCTTTTTGACAGGGATAATCTCAAGATTCTAAAAATCTAAATTTGGGGAGACTAAGAAAACGGCAACCGAAAACGATTTTACCAGGGAAAATTTGGGGTTTTCACAAGGTTCAAAGGAATTATAAAAAATCTGGGAAAAGGGAAATTGGGAAAAGGGACCTCGAAACCTGTTTTAAAATGGCCCTTCTGATGACGGCGCTGTGTGAGAGGGGCTGGGAAAAAGGACCTCTAATAAAACAGCTCTCTCAAAAAGACCCGCGTAACAGAAAACCCTAATTTTTTGAGAAAATTATACTGGGATTTTTTGGGAAATTTCACTGGGATAGGATCATATGACAAAAGCAATGGGTAGAAAAAGAATAGATAATGGGAAATTGGTTTCTCAAAAGTTTGAAGAAATCCACGGAGAAGGTTATGATGGGTGGAAAACTGATGAATGGGCAAAAATGAATGACATGAAACTGGAGACTTCTGGTATTGGTTGATGGCGACGAGTCCTTGTGTACCTTTAAAAAGGAACAAGATGGGCGAACTATTTTTGAAAACTTGTTGAGAACTCACAAATCGTTGTTTGAATTTCAGAACCATTTTTTTTGGCCCAGAATCTTGCTCAAGCCCAAAGGATCACCGTAGGGCATTGGATACATACTACGCTGTTTTTTCTCTGTGATTGGTGTCTCCTCGATCTTGGCATCTGAATTTAAAAAAAGAAAACATTTTTTTTACGGTTTCGGATAGCAACTCAGCAATCCCTCCATTTAGGCTCAAATATCTCGGTTTCTTTGCGAGATATCAAAAAGTGGTAAACTGATACAATGTTGGAGATATTATGATAAGTATTTTATCAGTTAAAGGTGGGGGGACATGAAAAAAATAATGTTCTCGAAATTTCGTTCAAAGATGCCCCTCGAGGAGTTGAACTTGTGAGGGCGATGATTGAGGGTGCGGCGCCGCTATCGAATGAGCCACGCGGGCAAGGAGAAAGCGCACGCCCGATTGCATACATAAAGGCGAGGACGACAGCTGTACGCAGAGTGACATTAAGCGTTGTACACCGTGACGGTAGAATGCATACTCTAGCTACAAAAAAACTACGAAAAATCTCCTGTCCCCCCACCTTTAAACACTTTTTGATATCTTCTACAGGAAGTGAGATATAAGCACTCAAAGTTGGTGGATTTTTGTAAACCAATTTACTCCCAATTGCGTTCCCCTCTAACTCACTTTCTTGGTCCTTTCTACGGATCTTTTTTGGCTTCTGTTGGTATTGATCTTCTTCAAGTGGTCCTCTTTTTCGTTTGTAGCGAACTTCAACATTTCGGACTTCGAATCTCTCATTCTCCTTGTAATCCTCGACTTCACTACCATCTAAAATGGCTTGGAGACTCAAAGGATCAGATTGTGGTCTGGGGTACAGACTACGAACCTTTGTTGTCTCATTCTTCAAATCTGAAAATGCTCTTATCGATTTGTCAAGTTCATAGTGTTCAACAACCTACCGCTTCTCCAACTTTCATCACTAGAGCTGACGTAGTTCACTTGGATTGGTGCTTCGCGTTTTTTCTGACTTTCCATCGCTTGTATTCTTCAGGAGGTCGACTGCGGAGAGTCAGTCTCTGAAAAAAAAATAGTTCTTTAAAGTCCAAACAGCTATAAAAAACGATTAAACTAAAAATGAGGTCGTGTGGTATATGGTGCATCGACCGTTTTTCAAGAGCGCCCACACTGTTAAGTTTAAGCTTAATTATCTCGGTGGGTATGTAAGATATCAAAAATGTGTCAACTGATAAAATGTTACTGACATTATGATAAGCAATTTATCAGTTGACAACGTTTTCATATCTCTTACAGAAAATGAGATATTAGGGCTTAAAGTTAACAGTTAGAGGGTCGTTTAACGGTGAGTAGGAAAACCTGACCAAAAAATAAACCAATCAAATCCAGATACAAATTGGTCTGATCTAGAAGGGTGCAGACTGGGAATCATGAGCTACCCCCTCATGCTGCCTCGCCCCTCTCAAGGGCACACAGTCTCTCTCCCACTACGGGGGCCACCTCCCTCAGCTGGTCCCTTGTGCGGGAGTGTTCTCCCGCGCGGTTTTCAGTGATAGAGGGAAGCGCGCTCTATTGAGAACAATAACAAGTTAGCACGGTGAGTTTTTCACTACCGCTGCTTCAACTTTGGAATTTTTTTCTCGAATTTTAGTCCATAACTTTTTTTTTCTGTTCCATAAATTTTTAGTAAATTTTATGAAGAATATATAGTAAAAAAATGAATCAGATTTTTTTTGTCCGTTGTACTTTAAAACGTCGCAGACTGTTTCGCATTCGGTAGTGAAAAACTCACCGTGAGTTAGTTCCTGTTATGTTGCCTATGTGAAGGAGGAGTGATCCTCTCTTCTCATTGTTTTTTCGAACATATTAGGTTGGCCGGAAAGTAACTGTCCATTTTTTGATTCGTGAATAACACAAAAGCAAGAGTTATCCCAGATTGACAGTATGCACCGTCGCGGTCCATGACATGTTGACAACATTCAGGCAACTTGTGGATACCAAACCTTCAAAAGCCAGCTGGCTGCGACACAAAGTATTTTTTGAGTCCAGATTTTATCTCAACTTCAGTGTTAAATTATTTTCCTCCAGATGACGTTGCATTTCTCCTAATAATCAATAATAAAAGAGTCGAATCAGGAGTT